CATGACCAAGCTGTCATGACCAAAGGGTATAAGAATTTGATTTTACAGTATTAGATGCTAGAATTGCATTTAATACCCTTTGATCATTGGTTCCATACATCATAGAGATCATTCATCAGGAAAAGGCAACAGCTTTATAGTTACTATCACATTTAAGGGGAGTGCTCCATATTCACAATCGGGGTTTTGGTCTGAAATAGCCATCCTGAAGACCTTTTAGTGCTATTCAGGAAGAGTATTTCATTGGGAAGAGAATTTCAGGAAGAGTATTTCAGAGTCACCTTGGCATCTAGGATGTCACAATATTAAAGACTTTCAAATCCTGCCATTTCATAAGCCATGCAGTGATCAAAGTAAATAAAAAATTGTCAAGGTCTCCATATCTGGCATTTGTGAGTGAAATTTGCAGAATTGTTACTGATAAAGGCTGTCAGTTGGCTCTCAGTCCATGTTGTGCAAGGTAAAATGATGTAATCACACTATGACACATTGAGGAGTACATTTTCCTTAACAGAGAACTGTGCTGTCTATAGTGGTGTTCCAGCTTAAAAATTACAGCAATAGTCATAATTGAGTTTGTTTCATCATATCTAATGCTTGCTTCACAATCTTCAAATGCAAAGCATTCCTTTTAAGCATTTAACAGATAAGGAGGATTCTTTACCACAAACAAGAAATTGCAAGCATGACTTTAAAAAAATGGTAGCCAGAAATTGCAAGCATCTCAAGTATTATACCTGAAAAATATACCTGCCTGGAAAGATTGCTATTACAACCCAAATGAGCATTGTAACATAAACATACAGTTCATACAAGATAAACATTACACCATATTAAACCTAAAGGCTAAAAGAGGCAAGAATAAAGGAAAGCAATGTGAGTTGTCTCATAATTGCCCCATATTTGACTTACTTTCTGATGCTAGAAGCTGTGGACTAAAGATTCACTCTTGATTTATTTTTATAGATTTACCAGTTAATGCTTACATCATATAGTTTTGACTTAAATTCTTTTTAATCCCTGCACCCTGGGACAAAACCATCTTTTATGTCCAGTGATACCAAGACACAGCTTAAAGAACAACACGAATACATACATGTGGAATTTTTACACAAACTCAAACAATTCTTCCAACACAGGTTAGCAGATTTCAATATAATATGAACACCCAACTTAACAAGTAGTGACAGTGATTGTTCAGCACTACCTCAATAAAAAACATTACCTTACAATGCATTATACCAGTCCCTTTGCAAAATTGACTGATTTATAGACCTTGTAAGAGAGCACTTTAACTTGGTGTTTTGGTTGGATGGCATCTTGCACAGTTATAATAACAATCATGCAATAAAGTTCTTCACACCCAAATTCAACTCAGCCATTGCCACTCACTATTACAAGATACCCTCAACTTCAACATGAGGTAGATAAAATCTACATCATAAATTGGCTTTAAATATTTTTTGTATTCATTGCCTGTCAAAGTGTTCAGCTGAGCAAAAACATGTCACTAATCCTAGAAGTAGCAAATGCAGACTATAGCTTCAACCTGACCCTGAGATTTATACCAAAATTTGTAATTTACCAATAAATGAAGCAAGCATCAAATATGTTCATTAACAATGATGGACAGATACAGCAGCAAGAAGCAGCAGACAAATGCCCTTTTCTCATAACAAACCAATTTTAGCCTGGTGCTAATGCATGAAAAAATGTGGCACTCAGCCTGCTCCACTGCTTCTTAAGGACCGTCACTGCTAATGACAGGGAGAAAATGTGACATATAAAAATAATCCACTGCATGGTAAAATGTACCCTCAATTTGAAATCATACCCCATGCCAAACATGAAAGCTAAAAAGTTTAGATATGTGAAACCCTGCCTTTCAAAGTATCCCTAAGGCATTACCTGACTTGTGATTTGATATCTTACACTATAGAACCAAATGGCCAGTGATCACAAAAAAACATGACTTTTACTGGAATGTGCATGTCTTATTTGTTTATCAGCAAAGCGGGTTCCTCAAGATTAAGTAATGCTGCTCCTCACTTTTCCCATAAGACAACTTCACTTCAAAAGTCCACACCACAGCTCAACAACTAGAGCACAATTACAAACTGGATCCAATGACAGCAAACAAAAAGATCATCCCAGATGGCACTGTAATGAGGTACATTGTTTAAATCCTGAGTGAAATAATGTTCCAAATGATGGAATATGATTTACCTTCAATCAAATCCTTTACAACAGTTTGCAAATTTTTTAATAGCAAAAATGTCATTTTCTATGTTAAGAGCTGCCATTCAAACATAACCAATGAACTTAAGATAACAAATGTCATAGCTACCCAGTAACGTTTCATTCCAACTAAATCAGGAAAAAGAAAACCTTAAAGCATTCAACCCTGGGCGGAAATGGACAACATCGAGCAATCCACAACATAAACAAAGACCACGCTTCTCAGGACACATTCGCGCACAAAACCGGCGCAGTCCGTTTGAATTGAATTTTACCAACCCAGCTCAGAAGATTGGACTTGTGATGTCTTCTTGACACTTCTGCTCTGATGTTTCTGGTGTGAAACATAAATTCACGAAACAAAACAAGCTTTTACATAAAAATAATGCATTTTTGCGCACCACCGCAACACCATTCCAATTCGCGGCAATTGCGCCGCACAACGGCACGCGAGATCGTTTGTGTATCAGCATATGCAGACGAATCCTTGTCATAATTACTCTTTTAAATTTTTTGATATTTTCATATCTTATGCCGATGCTCATCAGTATTTAGTGTACTTCATAAAAATTGGACATGATGAGAACATTTCGTTGCAATTACGAATCAAATTCAGGATATATAATCAGCATCGCTTATGCTGAATGTTTATTGTGCATTTTTGTTTTATCAGCAGCGCGTACCGCACCCGATCTTCGCACTTCCGAGCATGTTTGATATTGGTAGGGGCACAATCGTGATTTTTTAAGGGAACCCAGAGCTCATTGAAAAGGTATCCCGCCGATTTGCATCTGTCAGGGTGCCATCTAAAGTGAAAAAGGGTAAATGCGCCCTAATGCCCCCTGGCTATGCTTATGCTTTACTTGCCCCTTGGTTATTCTGCCGTCCAAAGCCAAAACGGCCTAAGAACCATTAGTTAACGAAGTACTTGAGTTTACAAGTACTAAAATGGCATCCTTTGTCTTTTGGACGGCAGACTTCCATGAAAGCCAAACAAAGGTGCTGCAATTGGGTCTTCTGATCATCATTTTTAATGCATCATTTTGTGAATTCACCAGAAAAAGTGCAATGGGGAATAGATTCATGGGAATCCGAGTCGAGCCGCTCAAGGCCGACGCTTTTAGAACCACCTTTTAACGACACTGAACAGCAGGTTTTCCAGGTGCTGGCAAAACCAACACGGAGCCTACGATGTGCGAATGCGGAAATGCTGAACAATCCGCATTTACCTCGATGAGTTATGGGGCTAGTCACCGGATTTAGGACCATGTCCGCCGTTCGCTAATCCAGCCGATCTAATTGCGGCTTCATGGACCACCTACTCTTTTCGCGAGGGCGTTTGGCAAAACAATGGCCTTCAAATTTCTCGCGGCAGGGTCGACTCCTGTCCTGGACAGCGCCAGCTCCCGTCAGTACATCCAGCGGCATAGCACTCACCGTCCACCACCGCAGCACTCCCAGTCAACGCATCGTGTATTGTCATCATATGAGGCTACAACCAAAAATACCGCCCGGCTTCGGTCGAGGTGACGTAAAACAACGCGCCATGCCGCGGGTGCGACGCTAGCTAACAGGCACTCGGCAGTGTAGCTGGGCTCCTCGGCTGCCCAGCACGGGGCCGCGAGCAGACGGACGGCAGCGCGCGCGCACGACCCGGACCAGTGACATCATCAGGCGGTGAAAAGTTGCGAGCTAACACCAGCAGCCTGGGCGAGTCGCCGGCGCCGCCCTCGGCCCACCACAGCTCGGCGAAAAGCTGTGATAGCGCGCCCGAGTGCAACGGCCCGAGTGCAACGGCGCGACAGCGGCCCGTTCGTCACGCCTCTGCGCACAAGCCGCGGGCCGTCCACGCGCACACCAGGTCCGAGCAGAGGCGACAGTCCGCGTGGGATGCGGACCAAGTCCGATCGGGATCCGCCGCTGCCCACGGCTCTGCAGAGCGCACATCTCGCGCAACAGGTGGCGGGCTCGCCGCCGGCCAGCCGCGTCGCCGTGCAGAGCACACGCTCGGTGGTTAGTGTAACGGTAACGCAACATAGAATCAGCGGTCGCTACGCTAGTCAACATTGCTTCCACACCGCCGCGCCAGTCTGGGGCACCCGAGTCTATGTTCTCCCAGTCAGTTTTGATAACGCGTTTGGATGAGAACGCTGTCGCCGGTAGAGAAAACCGCGTATGGAGTTGAAAGGATGGAGTTGAGCGCTGTCGCGGATAGAGGAGACCGGATATGGAGTTGAAAGGGATGGAGTTGACCGCTGTCACGGATAGAGAAGACTGGATATGGAGTTGAAAGCTGTCGCGGATAGAGGAAACTGTTTATAGAGTTGAAATGGATGGATATAGACAGCGAAAGACAAAAACACGACCGGGGCGAGAACCAGGCGGTGGGGGCTGTGGATAGGAGAAACAAACAAGCAGAAGAACACACAGGAAGAGCGACAGCCAGTCCCAGCACACAACGGAGTATCCGACACCCCCAGCGAACCATTGCAACGGAGCCCAGCATGCAAACCTTCGGAGAAATGCTCAACCCGCTTTCAACACAATGCGGTTTGTGGAAGTTTAAATCACAGACAGTTAACATCGTCCTCGCCGTGTGACCTCGTGTGACCTGGGCAAGAGGGACAGACCGGTCGCATGGCTGCGTCTCCCCGACCTTCCTGGCTGTTTGTACAAGCACGAGAGTTACCGTCATCCAACACATTTCGGATGCTACCAAACCGCATCAGAGGCAATGCGCGTCCGTTGAAAGGGCCGCCCCAGTTCAGGCGATTAATAACGTTGATAAGTTAATCTGGGCTGCTACTAGCACTTAGAGTCTACACAGATAAACGTCTCATATAACGCTAACCCACGCTGTGCAACGAACCACTTCCGATAAACTGTGAGAACAATCCACGGAGTACCGCTAAGGCCACCTCAAAAGGCCGGCCGCTCCGTACAACAGTGACCGCGGACATGCGGCGGGACGGCTCCAAACATGTTAACGAGGCGAGGACAACGCGCAGGTCATCTATCCATATTCAAGGGCAATTCACGGCCTCGCGAGTTTGCATACGAATGCACCAGGCCACGGCGCGCCACCGCGTGGAACCAACGAGTGTAGTTAGTTGTATCTCTTTCCGCCATACGCCCAGTGACAACATGACAGCGGCATCCGGCCGTCCAACCCACGTAGGCCTCCGAATCAGCTATTCCGGCCCACCCAAACACACCTCAGGAGCGGAGCTCCAGCCCACGTCCTACAACAGATGGGGCCACCTGTCGGGACCGGCGGCTCAGAACGTCTCGCCGGCGTCGCACTGGTCGGCCGTGTGGCCGAACATCTCGCAGGCCATGCAGAACTGGCGGCGCACGCCGCGCGCGCCGCCGTGCCGGCTCGGCGGCGGCTCCTCGGGCGTGCTCGCCTGCGTTGGGCACTCGTCCGTGTCGTGGCGGTCGAACTCCTCGCAGATGTCGCACCACAGCCGCGGCGGCGGCCGCGCGGGCGCCGCCGGCGACGCCGCCTCCTCCTCCTCGTCCTCGTCGCCCACCGCCAGCAGGCGCACCTGGCGCGTCAGCTCGTCGTTCCTGCCCTGCAGGTCGGCGATGACCGAGTTCAGGAAGTCGACGTGGCCGGCCGCATCGGCGGCGCCGTTGGTGAGCGGCACGGCCGGCGCCGGCCGCGCGCGCTGCTGCGCCTCCAGCAGCAGGCGCCGACTGGTCTCGGCTTCGCGCCGGGCGTCGTCTAGCTTCTGCTGCTGTCGCTCGAGCTCCTCCCGCTGCTCCAGACGGACCGCCGCCACGTCCCGGTCCCTGGAGTCGAGCTCCTCGTGCAGCTGCTCCAGTTTGGCTTCCTGCTCCCGCCGAAATGCTGCGTTTTCTCGTTCCGTTGAGTTCAGTTTCTGCTTGAGACGTTCCAGTTCCTGCTTTTGCTCCTGCCCGGCTGCAGCAGAGTCCTGTTTCTTGGAGGCCAACTCCTGTTCAAGTCGCTCCAGCTCCTTCTCCAACTTTTGCCTCGACGCAGCGCCGTCTGCCTCCTTGGAAGCCAATTCCTCCGTCAGCCGCTCCAGCTTCCGTTTCTGCTGCTGTTGAATCGCAGTAGCGTCTTGCGTTACGGACTCCAGCTCCAGCTTCAGCTTCTCCAGTTCCTCCTGCTGTTCCTGCCGAGCCGCGGCGCTGTCTCCTTCTTTGGACGACAGTTCCTTCTTGAGCCTCTCCAGTTCCTTACCCTGCTCCTGTCGGACCACAGCAGCATCCTCCTCTCTGGAGTCACGCTCCTGCTTCAGTAGCTCTACCTCTTGTCGAAGCCGTTGCAAGCTCCTCCTGCTGGCAGCTGGCCTCGGCGCGCCCGCTCGTCGCCGGCAGCTGCGGAGCTGCGCTGCAGCTGTCGCAGCTGGTCAGCGACTCGCTCCAGCCTCGGCGCGCCGCTCCTCCAGCCGGCGCTCAGTCTCGGCCAGCTTTGCGTCGACCTCGGCGCGGCCCGTCCGTCAGCGCGGCGACGGCGGCGCTCTTCTCGTCGAGCTCAGCTCTCAGCCGCTCCAGCTCCGCCCGACGGCCGTCCGCCTCTCGCTGCGCGTCCCCGCTGGCCGTCACCTGCTGTGCCAGCCGCTCCTTGTCGGCCCGCAGCGCCGCCCAGCTCTGCCTCCAGCTCCGCCAGCTGCCGCTCGCGGTCTGACAGCGTCAGCTGTCTGTCGGCCCGCCTCCTGCCGCAGCGTCGCCTCCGCCTTCCGACTTCGCTCGCACGCCTCGGCGGACGCGGCCAACCGAGTCGTCGCCTCGGCCAGCTTTCTCTCCCACTGCTCGGCGTCCCTCGAGCCGGCCGCGGCGCTCTCCTCCACGCGCTGCAGCAGCGCCTTGTTCTCCGCCGCCAGCGAGTCTGCCTCCGCCGCCTTGCCGTCGGCGAAGTCCTTCAGTGCCGTGACGCGCTCCTTGAGCAGCTCGCCGTCACGGCGCCACGTGTCCAGCTGCGTCTGCAGCTGATCGGCGCGTCTCTCGGCCGCCTGCTGCCGACCGGTCGCCTCGCGCAGCTGACGCTCCAGCTCGTCGCCACGCTGGCGCAGCTCGGCTAACTCGGCGCCGTCAGTGGCGGCGGCCGGCGCCGGCCGCTCGCGACGCTTTCTCCTCGGCCAGCTGCGCCTCCAGCTCGGCGCGCAGCAGCGACTGCTCCTCGGCGTTGAACTGCAGGTCCTCGGCGCGGCGCTGCTCGTCCTCCAGGCGGCGCAGCAGCGCCGTGCGCTCAGCCTCGACGTCGGCCTGGTCGCGCGCGGCGCGCTCCGCCGCCCGGACGCAGCTCGTCGGCGGCCGCCGCCAGCGCACGCTGCTCGTCGGCGCGCTTCTTCAGCTGCGCCCGCAGGCTGGCCAGCTCGTCGTCCGCCTCGTGCCGCACGCGCGACGCCTCTCCCTCCAGCAGCATGATGCGCTGCATGTTCTCGTTGATGTCGGCGGCGGCGCGCGCCGCCTCCAGGCGCACCTCGTCGCGCTCCTTGGCCAGCGTGCGCACCTCGTCGGCGCGCTCGCGCTCCGAGCGGCGCGCGGCCTCCAGCGCCGCCTTCGCCGCGTCGCGCTCGCCGTCCGCCTTGGCCAGAGCCTGCTGCAGCGCGGCGGCATCGGTCGTCAGGCGGCGCGCCTCCTCGCTGCGCGAATCGCCGGCGGCGCTCTGCTGCTCCAGCTGGCGCCGCTGCTCTGCCAGCTCGTTGCGCAGCAGCGCCGCCTCCTCGTGCAGCCCCTGCTCGGTGCGGCTGCTGAGCGCCAGCTCTGCGGCGCGCTCGTCCAGCAGCCGCTGCTGCTCGGCCAGCTCGGCGCGCAGCCGCTCCGCCTCGGCGCGGCCGGCGGCCAACTCGTCGCGCGCCGCCGCCAGCTGCGCCTGGTGCTCGGCCTGCAGGCGCGCCGGGTCGCCGCCGGCCGCCTGCAGGCGCAGCAGGTCCGCCTGACCGCGCGCCGCCTGCAGCTGCTCCGCCTGACGCGCGGCGTCCGCCTGCGCGGCGGCCAGGCGTGCCTCGAGCTCGGCGCGCACGATGGCCGCCTCCTCAGCGGAGAACTGCAGCTCCTCCGCGCGGTGGCGCTCGTCCTCAGCCGTGTTCTGCAGCTGCGCGTGCGCCTGCTCCAGCTCGGCCAGCCGCTCCTTGAGGCGCGCCGCTTCCGCCGCCGCCTCCTCGCGCTCCCGCTTCGCCGCCAGCACCTTCACCTCACCGTCGTCCACCAGGCTGGCGGCGCGCACCACCTCCGAGCGTTCCATGTCGCGCTCGCGCAGAAGCTGCTCGATGTGCTCCTCCTTCTCCTTGAGCACCTGCTGCAGTGCGTGCGTGGAGGCGGCGGCGGCGCCGGCGGCGCGCGCGCGTGGCGTGGCCGCAGCGGCGCGCGCCGCCGACACGCGCGACGCCTGGCTCGCCACCGACTGCAGCGACTCTCGCGACGTGGAACGGCGCAGCGCGTGCACGCCCATCTTCTGCGAGCTGCGCCGCGCCGGCCGGGAGATCTTGTGGGCAGGCGCGAACAGGCCGTAGTTGGGCCGGCACGAGAAGTAGCGCTTGCCGGCCACGGTGCCGTCGTTCTTGCCCGAGGGCGTCTCCAGCTCCACGCCCGCCCACTGCCCCTCGGCGAATTCGGTCTTGCCCAGGTAGCGTAGTAGGCCCGTCTTGGAGCCAGAGCTGCTGGAGACAATCACCTTATCACCCAGCTCCAGGTCCTCACCAGGTGAGGAGATCATTGATGAATCCATGGGGCTTGTGACCATTGATGCATTGGTGGCTCGTGTTCCCATGGCAATTGAGGACCTTCTGGAGCTAGGGACAGAGCGTCCATCTGCCACGGCATCTGCTTCAGCTCCAGTGCTGCCCAGGGGTGTCCTGCTCAGCTTGGTCAGTCTGGAGAAAATACCCCTGTTCTGCTCACACATGAAGTAACGGACACCTGCCACTGAGCCATTGTTCTTGCCATCAGGGGTGTCCAGAACAACACCAGCCCACTCACCTGGGGCAAACTGGGTCTCCCCAATATACATAATCTGACCAGGTTTTGTTCCGCTTACCCAGACTCTGTCCCCAACTCTGAAGCTGGATGTATCTGCTGTCAATACAGTGGCATCTGATGGTTTTCTTGGGGCATCTGATGGCCTTCTTGAGACATCTGATGGCCTCCTTGGGGTGTCAGATGGCTTCTTTGGGGCCTCTGCTCCAGGGTGACCACAGCTGAAATGTTGTGGATCCCCATTTTGTCTTGCCAACCCAGCTGTGGGTCTGGCTAGCCTGCTTGGGGGCTTTACTCCAGACATCTTTCTTGCAGAATCCATAATAGCTGGTTGATCAATCTCCACAGCAGCAGCAATGCCCAAAAGAGCTGGGCGTTGTCCTCAGTTCTTGTTACACACAATGCATTCAGTCCCAGCAACAATCAACACCCTTCCAAGGAAGCTTGAGTGAAAGTACTTACTTCAGCAAGACACAGGTTAATCAGGTCTTCAGATGCCTACAGCTGCAGTCAATTGTGCACCTAGGAAGATCCCCTAAGCCACTACATGCCTTTCTTCCTAGACAAGACGCATTTCCAAGTCACTATTGAAAATCACACCAACAGGTGACACCACATCGCGTGGACACGCCACTCCCTCTCCAAGACATGCACAGCTGTAAAATGTGTCACGCCACGCAGACGCCAAGGCCGTGGATATGTCTCTATGAATCATCCCAACCACCGAGGAATCCACGCTATGCAGGCAGTATCCCATACAAGGCTACGACCGCGGACGCTCGCCCTACAACCATCAAAACAACGCAAGTGACAATCGAAAGTGAGCCAATTGGGCGGTGTCCAGATCACGGAGATGCTGATCGCCTCAAGGTTTTCCTGCTTTCGACCAATCACATACTCGTTGGGAATATTTGGCCCAATTGAACAACTAGAATAATGCAGTTTCTTGCATGAGAGCAGGTGTGAACAAGATGCAAAAGTTCCACATATAGCAAGAGCCTTGAAAACAGGACAAACCTTGCGCCATAGCGACGCTTCAGTGCTTTTGAGTTCCGGAATATGTGCATTCGGGGGTTGTCTGGGAGCGTGGGGCTATTTTCGATGGAGTGTTTAACTGTTCACAATGGCTGCTGACCTTCACATATTTTTCAGCTACCTGTCTTGCGTAAGTAGTCTAATCTGCTTAGCCACCATTCATATCGAAATATGGTCTTGGTTTTGACCGGTTTGACAGTAATGTGCCCTTCCTGAAAGTCTTGAAGCCCCGGATTTTGCAAACAGTTTCGAGGCTCTTTATCTACTTTGCTTGGTTTTGAAGATCGTCAATGCCATGAAAAGATAATATTCTGAGGGAGAATGACCTTGGCATTACATATTGGCTAAATTTCCCAGGCTGGCATGCCATTATGAAATGACATTGGGTGTCTGAGATATCAGCATTGTCCCCCCATGGCTGAGGGAGGGCTTACATGACCAGCTTGCACATAATATGATTTGCATGGAAAACTTCAGCTTATGTATGAGATGATGTGATATCAGTCATTCATTAACATATTTCTTTTACTTCAAAATCAATAGTTGGTCATTACTAGGCTGTAAATGGAGCCAACCAACCAAAGCTTACCAAATTGGAGCTGATGGTCTGTTTAAGCATGAAAAGGGTGACTTCACTTTACCTTACCTTATGGGTGGTGGAAATCATGAGGTAGGTAGCACATGGGTCACACTCCCTTCAAGCTCTGATTTGTGTGCTCTTTCCACTGGCTGTGTCATGTCTGATGGTCTGTGAATCAGGGGTGTAGCTTTATGGAAGAGGTGCGGGTGCTGAGCAGGGCAAGATGGCTTAACTGATGGCCAAAATATGCCAAAAAACATTTTCTACCCAGATTTGGCTCACTTTCTAAAGAGATTGAAACCTTGCTTCTAAAGCTGGAGTTGAGCATGAATGATAAATTGGTGGTACACTGCTTTTTGTCCTAGTTTTTTTATTTTATTTTAGAGGCTGATATCTGCTTTCTGTGCTGTTTCAGTACCCTGACTTGATAAGAGCCACATCAGATGATGCCAGTCCAACACCTGGGTACCTTCTACACAAAATATCAGGTGAGCTGAATTGCACTTTATTGTTAGATTACACAACTAGTTTCAATATACTAGAACACAATCCAATCATTTTTGCAACATGTGCTCATTTTATTGATGATGCAACTATTGATTGCACACCACAATGTTGTTCTGGTTTTGTGACAAGAAATACTTAGTTGTGAAGAGGTATCCATGTTAACTTGTTCAATACACATTGTTGCTCAAGCTATAAATGTTTGTGCTCAAAGAGGTTATAGGTTTGGTAAATGATTTGTTATTTTCTTTTGAAATCATTATATTTTTAGGGTGTGCCATATCCTTTTTGGTGATGGTTGTAATACATGATTCTGACCTGGCTGTTTCATCAACATTTTGAAGTATTGTGCTAAGCCAACCACCAGCAATGACCACATTCAAACAGTGCCACTGACTGGGCAGCCATGACCTCTGTTGTTCCAGTGGTGACCCCATTGTGTTACAGAGGTGACCCTCACCTCGCCTGCCCAGACGCCAAAGTTGGTAGACTTCATGGTGGTCCGTCTGCAGAACACGTCCTCACCGACTGCCAAACTGAAGGTGTGTAACTGGGATAAGTCTTTGCCTGGAATCTCTGAGGTGCCATGTCTTGTGCTGTACTGTGTTGAGCCACAAACCCTTTACTGGATGTATCAGTGTTGCGCTTCCGACCCGCAGTCAGACGCCGGACCACTGTTTGACAGAGCCTCTGCTAGATGTTATACTGCCACACTGCAGACCCTCCATCTGATCCCACACTGCCACACTGCAGACCCTCCATCTGATCCCACACCACCACACTGCAGACCCTCCATCTGATCCCACACTGCCACACTGTGGACCCTCCATCTGATCCCACACTGCCACACTGCAGACAGTCTGACTGATCCCACACTGCCACACTGCAGACCCTCCATCTGATCCCACACCACCACACTGCAGACCCTCCATGTGATCCCACACTGCCGCGCTGCAGATCCTCCATCTGATTCCACACCGCCACCTCGCAGACCCTCCGTCTGATGCTGTACTGCGCGCGCTACGGCGGCCCCGAGTTCCGCCGGCTGCTGCGGTCACGTGACGGTGACGTCACGGCGGCCAGCGCGGCGTGCGGCCCGGCCGACCCGGTGCTGGGTGCGACGCCGCAGCTGTGGGTCCGCTCCACCTCTCAGGTAAGCTTGGCTCGGCCCGAGGCCGACCACGCTGTCCGAACCGAGCGTCGCGCGTGCGGAACGAATGGCAAGTGCGTCATCACAAGCTGCTGGTTGGCGTTGCGTGAGCGGTCAGGAGTTGCTGGTCAGTGGTGTACGGCGCGGTTCGTCGTGCCAGCTGCTGGCCGGTGACGCTTCAAACGTATCGTCAGGAACGAGCCGTCATAGCACGGCTGTCAGCAGGAGCCGCCGCTCGGTGAAGCGCCGTGTCCGTCGACGGGAGTGGGCGGTGCTTGACGCGCGCGCTGCGTCGTCAGGAGCTGCTGGCGCTGCTCTTCTCGTCGGCTGACGAGGCGGCGGGTCCGCGCGTGCCGGCGCCCGGCCTCGGGCCGGCCACGCCCACGTCCGGCCAGTACCAGGGCTTCGGCGTCTCCACGGCGCGCCGCTCTGGTGAGGCTGCCGCGCCAGGTGGCAGCTTCGCTGTGATAACATGGTTTTCTTACAACCGGGTACGCGCAGACACCCCTGGTTTACTCCGTCTGTTGAAACACTGCGACAGTGTCGATCTTTGATGTTGTTTAGTGGGGTCCCTGGGGACGTGGTCCGCTGAGGTATTGCCCCATGTTGTTTTCTGACACCGGTGTGTGTCTTTCACTAGGTGGCGTCCGGCTCTCAGCCCGCGTGCGGCAGCTGATGGAGGACGCCCTGTCGCCCCCGGCCGCGCCGCCGGCCGACCCGCTCGCCACCAGCAGCGGCCAGTACGAGCCGCCCTCGCCGCCCGCCGTCGGCCCGGCGTCCGAACCGGCCGGCCTGCCGCGGCCGCCGCCGGCCGCGCGTCTCCCGGCCGCGCGCCTTCCGGACCCGCGCCTCCCCGCCCCGCACCCCGCACGAGGTACGCATCCGGGGCGGGCACGGCCTTCGGTGCGGTGTGAAGCGGCGGTCGCGCGTTAACGTGTGGCGCACGACACACTGACAGATTTTGCTGGGATGTGATTTCCGTGAGTGATGCCAGCGCTGTGTGACCTAACGGTATTGCTCAGTCATTTGGTGTGTAATAGCCGGGCCCGATTTCTCTTGATGGATAGCGCGTCCTCCGCGAGGTGCGGTATCGCCGCTGTGCATCACTGTGAACGGCCTATAGCTCTAGCAGGGCTCCACCCTGTTAGCTGTGCTGTGGGAACATTTCGTCAAGCATTGCCCCATCACGCACTGTTGTGACGCCACATTGTGTCCCTGCTCCCGCTGTCGCCACCGGTCGGATGTTGACCTGTCACCGACCTGGCAGCCGCTGGGCTGACACAGACCTGACACCAGCCGCTGGGCTGACACCGACCTGACACCAGACGCTGGGATGACACAGACCTGACACCAGGCGCAGGGCTGGCACTGATTTGTCACGACCCTGACACACACAGACCTGGAAGTGACTTCTCACCATCCTGAAGCACACCTGACACACGGCAATGCCAATGTCCCGACGTCTGATGCTGACCTGTGAACCATCGCGTCGCCGTCCGCACATCCCCATGTGACCGGTCACCGACTCGTCACCACCCTGATATTCGCCTGACACCGTCACGATACTCACCTGACACCTGATTCATGATACAGCTGTGACGCTTACCCGACACCGCCCTGACACTCACCTGACATTCGCCTGACACCACATTGACCCTCACCTGACACCGCCCAATACTCGCCTGACACTCACCTGACACAGTCCTGACACTCACCTGACACTCACCTGACACCTCCGTGACACTCACCCGACATGGGCCGGGCCAGGTCACGTGCCGGGCCGCGCCGGCGGCGGCTGGGAGGACTCTGACGACGAGCAGCCGGCCTCCGATGACGTCAGCGTCGGCTCGGACGTGGCGGCCGGCATGGAGGCGGCCGACGAGGCGCCGGCCAGGTCAGTCAGCGGGGGGGGGGGGGGGGGGGACTGGGCCATCGTTAGGTGGCTTGGGGTGCGCTCCGGGGTCTGGTGTTAACACCGGTGATGGCAATGTCATCACCGTGGCCTCAGAATGGGCTCAGCTGGGCTGCGGTGCCTTGGTGGCACGGATACAATGTCTGTAATTCCTGTAATACTTGTAATACATTTGATACCTGAATGATCTGTGATGCCTGTAATGCCTGTAATATGATACGTGTAATACCTGCATGCGTAATGCCTGTTATAATGCCTTTCATCTTGGCATGTGGTATTAGTTGCGTGCAGTATGGAGGTCAGCAGCAAGACATGTCCTGTTTCGAATCCTCCGGTGGTAACTATTCGAACGTCCAAACAACGCGGTTCTGTGACCGGTAGCCATTCGCGTTCGAAGCCCATTGGCTGTGACTTCTCTGCGGCTGCGAATGGGACTGCCGTGCCACTTTGGCGGCTGAGTAGCTGCTACTAGTAGGCTTGGAACAGGCTCATATTTGTAGGAATGTGTGGGTCGAAGCTTACGGGGCAACCAAGGTTAGCTAGCCACGCTTCGGTGTTCTGGCATTCCTGGAACACGTTTTGAGAAGTTTCGTTGAGCTTCGATGCCGGGCAAGTCGCTGCGTCTTGCACTGTTCGGTGCCACGGCGTCAGCTGGTGTTCACCTCTGCTGTGCGTCTCGGCGTTCCGCTGGTGGCATGTATCTCAGTGCATTGTCGCCATGCTGCCGGGCGCGCCGTCGGCGTGGATGCGTCGCGTTCGCCGCCGGCGCGCCGCTCTCACGGCTGCGTTTGCGGCAGGCCGGCCGCCTCGCGCGAGGCGCAGGATGTCTGGGAGTTCTGCCGGCCGGAGCACGGCCCCGTCCGCACCCTGGGCGCCGCCATCGCGCTGGCGAACAGGTGAGCCGACGGCCGCGCGCGCGCCGCTACCGCGCCGCCTCGTGCCGCCGCCGGCCGGACTGCCCGGGCCGCGGCTCTGGTGCTGCGCCGGCCACTGATGTGTGCAAGGGGTGTAGTGTCCTATTCAGTTTGGAGTTTCAGCCCCCGTCCCCCCCCCCTCCCCCCACAACTTGAGCTTCAGCCCCCCCCCCCAACTTTGGGAAGAAAATGGGCACAATCCGGGGAGTAACTTGTTTTTTGGCATGTTTTGGTCAAGTTGGGACACTTCACCGCTCAGCCCCTTCCCCCAACCCATTTTTTTTTTGCGAAACTACTCCCCTATGTGTGTGTTAGGTCCGCGTGCGTCGGACTGTGCAGACTTCGGCAGCTTGGTGTTTGTGTGCGTGCGGTCGTACGTGCGTGCGTGCGTATATGCATACATGCGCGTCCTTTCTGGGTTAAACATGCGGGTTTAGATCTTTAACGTGGACGTCGTCTCTGGCGTAGTGCGAACAAAGCCATGCTGCTCGGAATGACCTTTCGGAGTGCAGTGGCTGTGACCTAGGCCCCTACGCTTGGGGTCCGGTTGTGGACCCCAGTTTTGTCATGGCATTCTGGAATCCTGGAATCGCTCCTGAAATCGCTGGCGCACCAGAAAAAGGAAAACTTCCACATGCCTTACTGCTTCTGTACCACTGATGCCAGCACTCGTGTACACATGCTCGACTTGCCGTTCCGTACCCTGGCAGGCTGGCGGTCTGCTGCTCGTGTGACGTCATCGCAGCGCTGACGCAGCAGCTGGCGCGCCCCAGTGACGTCACGCGACTGCGGGCGCTCGTGCTGCTCGACTGCCTGCTCCAGGCGTGGCCGGTGACCGGCGACGGTGGCGCCGCCCTGGCAGCGGCCGTGGCGCCGCTGGCGGCCGCCGCCAGCGACCCGGTTCGAGTCAAGGCCGACAAACTGGGCAAGATCCTGCAGCGGCTGAGGGTGTGACGTCACGACCGACTGGGGATGTGATTGGCTGTGTGGGCCCGCCCGAGCAGCCGGGCCCGACATTGTTGTATTCGGCCACTTGGATGCCAATATTTTGTCACGCTATTACGACCCGGGTGGGCAGATGGGTCAGGCATGTAAGATGTCTGGGTTCAGGGTCAAAGAGAAACGGTTGAGCGCCATCGAACGGCGTGCGGGGGCCGCCGGAGAGCCAGGATTCTGGTGGAACGAATTCATATTCACATCCTGCACGCCTGACTGGGTGAATTTTGGAACGCTGGGATCCGATCCCACCTGAAACGAGGCGCCGCGGTCCAGACGCAGACTGCCAGGCTGGCGCGCGCTCGTTGACTGGACGTGCTCGCCGGCCATAGCAGCGTCCGCGCAGCTGTGAGGCAGCGGCACGACCGCCGGGCGTCGGAGCTGGTTCGCGGGGACGGGTCCGCTTGGGGGTCGGACTTACGGGAGATTGTGACAGGCGGCGCAGTGACCGCGTCGCCGTGCCTCATCGCGCGTGACTGAAGCAATGCGCGCGTTCCGTGATATTGGAGGAAGCTTGGCGCCGAGCGCGTGGCGTGCTGTCCGGCCGGTAACGAGCAATCCGAAACGGGTTATTTCGTGGCGTGGGTGTGTGAGGCAGCTCCATTCCGTTCCACGGCGTCTGCGCCTGGTCATGCCCGACGGTAGTATCGATTCGCTTTGGGTCCGACTCGGCTCGCCTCGGACTAGCGTGTCATTTGATCAGGCGTTTGCATCGACCGGCGGTGGAGCGGCGTGGCCCGCCTCAGACATGTGATAGAGATTCCTGCGCCAAGCGAGTCAGCTCCAGGCCTGGTCATGTGACTCCACGCTCGCCGCTCCGTTAGCCTTATGATGTGATGACGGAATGCGTGGAATGAAGTTGTATGGCGAAATATGTGAAATGTACGAACTGCTGGGCTTTTACCAATGCGAACGATTTCCAGTGTGGTGCAGCTGAGGAGCGCATTCCACGATGATTGAAATACGATTACACGTGCAGGTGCGGCTGTTCATGACGTCACGTCGCCACGACTTCATGGCTAATAGTTCTGAAGTTTTTGGCTTTTACTGCATCACCTGTTGCTCTTCATGGCCGGGCGTCTCAGAGCTGGACACGACATCGTCCGAGCAAGGCCATGTAGTACTGCCAGCGATATTTGGCACCATCTGCCATGTCATCACTGCTCATCATCATCATCATCACTCACTGCTCCGTCCCTTCAAGATGACACGCCTCCCTTCGCGGGTTCTTCGTTGCGCTATATTTGGCCACAGTTTAAGCAATGCGCCGGCGTTGGCGGCGACCCACTCCGGCCGCCCCGCTCCAGCCGGCGCGAAGCGACGCGCCTCGAGCGCCGATCGAGGTCAGACGTGACGTCACGGCGCCGACCGACTGCCGGGGGCGACGCGCGCGACCCGTCGCAGGGGCGCGACGCTGCGCCGGCGGGCCCAGCGGGGCCGCTACCACGCCGCTGAGTGCTGTCCGGGCACTGCCGGCCCTGGCAGCGCGCGTGGACGTTACGCGCAATACATCGGCACCGGGGTTTAGGGGCGTCGCCTGCTAGGGTTACCGACGCCCATGCCTAGCATACAAAATGAGGTTACGGGTTAAAGATCATACAAACGTGTCACGAATATCACTACTGGGCCACGACGGCCGGCTAATGCCAGCAGCCCCGAGACTGCATCCAACGATGAACACCCGCCTCAACGCGCATGGCACGGCGCTGAGGAGCGTGTTCAGCGTGTCCACCGATCTGTCACGCGTCCCCGGTAAGCGCCCGACCGGGCACCGCGGCTCACACGGCGGCAGAACACAGGCGAGAGTATCACACCGACGTCGCGTCGGCAACGGGTCAAACGCCGCCAGCGCTA